TGTCTTAATTAAGGGGGCCGAGTTCCGCTGCCATTGCTGCCTGGCAGATCCTAATGAAATCAGTGGAGCGATATCGGCCGGCCAGGAGAAAGAAAATGTTCCCTCTCTTGTTGATTAACGCTTCAAATTAAGCCAGGCTTAATCTCCAGCTGCTGGGTGGTCACTGCAGAGCCCAGCATTTCCATGGGTGCTCATCCCCTGTGTATGGCACAGTGCTGGGTGCTCATTCTGGATCAGAAACGTGGCAGAAGTTGGCAGCTTCAAATCACCATCAGCTCTCTTTGCTGTGGCTCCAGGCAGGAAAAGGGAGGAAGAGGATTTCAACCAGCCAAGATCCCCAAAAGGGCTGATCCTCCTCTTCCTTCCCAGCTCGCATTTCCTGACAGCCCAACATTAAAGCAGGCCCAGGGATAAGTGGATCCACATGCAATATTCATGGATGGCTTCAGAATAGTTCCAGATCCATCACACTTGGCAGCACGAAGGGACTGCTCCTAATGCGGGGCTTAAGCACCTTCTTGAACCTGAGCCTAGGCAGGGATGAGCACCTGGAGCTTTGGTCCTACTGCTGGTGTGTCCCTTTTTGTCCTGTCAAAGTCCCCTCCCTGCTCCACAGTCCTCTCCCACCTCCAGAAAAGCCTTGGAAGCTTTTTTTGGGTTTTCCCCACCTCCCTGAGATCCACTAAAAGSAAAACAAGTGGAGCTTAATTCCCTCACTCCAGCAAAGGTTTGTTTACCAGCCACACTGCAGCTCCAAACCCRAGCTCATCCCCCAGGATTAATTTTTACACAATCATTCCGCAGGCTATGATAATCRCTCCATAAAAAAAATGAAGAGATTTGGGATTTTTTTTTTCCAGCGTGGAGGATTAAAGACAAGTAATCTGCAGGAAGCTCAGCTGCATGCACACCACTAATCGCTCAGTACTCTTCCCATAGGTAGAGTAGGATTTTCATTAGGATTTTCATTAGGATTTTCCACAGTGAGGACAGAMWGACAGACAGACAGAKGGTGTGCCAGCCTGGGCAGTGCCATCAATTGCTGTGGTGCCCTTTATTCCTGTGATTCCATGAATTCCTGCAGTGCCAGGGTCACCACCTCTTTCCACTCACTCTGGGATCTCTGCACTTTCCTCAGGAAAGAGGTGAAGCCATTGGAAACAGCGCCACAACGCAGCTGGTGGGATGGATTTAAAATGTAATAAACTATKGGAAGGGATGATGAGCTTAAATCCTGCGGGGTTTAGTAAATTTAGTAGGTGAAGAGTGAATAATAACCTGGGAACGGGCAGTTTCCCCATTGCAGGGGCAGCTGTCTSTGTGCTGTCCTCTTGCAAAGCCTGGCTTAACTAACCCTAACTCAGTGGAGGAGGTGACAACACACACCAATCCCTGCTCACGGGTGCTTCCCGTGAGATTTGGGGCTGAATTCCCAAACATTCCTGATGGGATGTGACCCCATGCCTGGGATCCAGAAAACACTGCACGTTTTAGARTCCGGCCCGTTGTGCCCAGCAAGCGTTTTACCAAATAGAATTAAAATAAGAACATCTCTGGGACAGCTCTGACCACAGGGATAAGGATGCAACGCCAGGTTTTAAAAACGAAATAACGTAAGCACTTAGAAAAGGAGACTGGAGCAGACTTTGGGTACTTGTGTTGAAAATAATTGTCCCAGGAAACCCGATTCAGCAGGCACCCAGGCTGAAAGCACTTAGGCACCCGCGGGCAGGAATTCAACAAAGCATTTAGTGACCCCGGCGCTGCATCAGCAGCAACATCAGCGAGTGACTCAGGAAAAGGAGGGGAATGGCCGGGATTCCATGGTTTGTGAATTTGGATCCCACCCTAATCCTGCCCAGCTTCCCCAACCCCCGCCCGCTCCAGTCTGAGGCTGCTCCCGCTGCTTTAAACACGGGATTTGGGGATTCCTTAATCCCAGGAGCCGCAGGAATTCACTCCTCAATCCATCCCGTGGGAATGAGCGGAGCTGCTGCACTCAGGCAGCCTCTGGGATTGTAAATTCATGGATCTTCACAGGCAGCTGGGTTCAAGAGACTTTAAAACCACTCRGAGCGTGGTGAGGCACAGCAAAACCCCCTTATGCTTGGAGCCTCAAAGAGCAGCTTCAAAGCAGGGAGGGGAATTGTAAAAATAGCCTGGAAAATGTGGATTTCAGTTTATAAAAACTGTCCCTTTCTGTAAATAAATCAAAAAGCAGCACCCTTTTCTAAGTGGACACCCATCCTGAC